GCCCAGGGAGGCTGTGGAGTCTCCTTCTCTGGCGATATTCAAGACCTGCCTGCACGCGGTCCTGTGCAGCCTGCTCTGGGTGACCCTGCTTGGGCAGGGGGTTGGGCTGGGTGACCCACAGAGGTCCCTTCCACCCCTAACATTCTGTGATTCAAGGTTAAAAGAGCAGGTCCTACCAGGCTGTATCCTGGCAGCAACAGACTTGAAATCAACCGCCAAGCACCAGGCCTGGCCTCAGAGATAAGCAGAGACCCGAGACAGCACTAGAATTGCAAACCTGAACCATGACTCCAAGCACACTCCACCCAGCCAGGACTGACCTTTGAATTGGCTTCAGGTACAGATCCTCCTTCTTGCCAGGCGTGTAGTTTGGTCCCATGATTCTGACTTTCAAGCCAGTTGAGACGAGACCAGAGAAGACGCGTCCAAAAGCGTAGAAACGTCCCTTGTCAGAGGTTGGCACCATTTTAGAGATGTACATCATCAGGGGGCCTTTGGGGTCACAGTTCTTAATACCTGGGAGGAGGGAGAGCAATCAGCACAATTTCCTACATTTATTATGTGCCCTGTCCCCCCACCGACCCCTAAATCCCAGCATGAGCCCTGCACCCACCATTGTCCCAGCCTGTTGACTTCTATCCGGACAGCTGGCCAGCCCAAGATCACATCGCCAAGAGACCTTTTAAATGAACACAGGCTGAGCCTCAGCCTTCAGCATATGCCCTGGCTACTCTCCAGTTACTTCGCTAGCTCAGCCCTCCAGATTAAAGCTGCGAGCTCAAAGGCTTGTTTCATCCATACTAGAAAAGCTACAGACTCAAGAATGACAGTGGCTGCCGAGCTGTGTACTAGAGAACAAGACTGTTACAGGTATTTTTGAGAATTTATGTGAAGAGATGCCAAAGCAGCGGCTCATCATACCTATGGCAGCCTCATCATCAGGGGGTCCCTCGTAGAGCAGCTCACAGCGGTACTTCTGGGCTGTGACGGGAGAAGGCAGGTGAATGGTGATCATCTGCAGCAGGGCATCTCCGGCAGGCAGCCACCGCCTCATCACGGCCTGAGCAGAGATCAGAGGAGTGAGACCTGGGCAGATGGTTCATAACCTGGCAGTTATTCCCTTTCTTCCCCAAGCCCCCAGCTGCCAACAGCACCTTCCCACCCAAGCAGGGTTTGGAGCTGCTTAGTAAGTTGACACAGTTGGAGCAGCAAAACTACTCATCTCCTCCCCACAGACACTTCAGACCAATCTCACCTTCAGCAAGGGTTTGCCCTCCTTGTCCTTATCTTCAGTGTCAAGCTTGATGTCCAGTTTCTCAATCAGTTTAGCCGCCTCCTCCTTCTTGAAGTTCATGATTGCATCGAAAACCTGCAATAACAGCAGCAATCACGAATGCTGCCAGCGACCCAGTCTGAAGCAGCAGCAAAAACATTTCTAAAGAGAATCTCTCTGTTCTTGCTCATCACTCAGTCGAATCCATTTGCAGGCTCAGACACATACTCGCCTGCACAATATCTACTACCAGCTTCCCTGCCTGCAGAGTTAACAACTTAGACTTGTATCAGATGTTTTAATTTCTTCAACCAGAAAAGTCAGGTCAAAGTGAAGAAATTTTCCATCATCATGCACTGTAACCAAACCAGAGAGCGCAAGGCACCAGCAAGGGCTGAACACTGCGAACTCACCTTGAAGATGGGGTCAAGGATGAGCTGGCAGAAGGTCCTGGGCAGTTTCTTTCCATCAGGGCTGGTAGCAGATTTGCTGAACTTGCCAGTAGCAGGATCAAAATATCTGGAGGAAGAATCAAGTCAGACAAGTATCAATGCTCAGTTCAGCCACAGAACCGTGGTTTGTTCTGCTTGCTCAGGCCAGAGGAAAGAGCTGCAAAGAACCATCTTCATACTCTCCGCCATCACTCTCTGGCTTTCAGAGACCACCAAAATACACTTAACTCATGTTGCCAACTCACCATCACCTCCCCATTTATCTGTGTTTTTCCTATTCTGCAAAGAGTTCATGTAAAACAATTCTTTCACCAGCACATGGACCAAGCCACCGAGACAGGGCCGTTAAGCAGGCACGACCACATCCTCCCTCCTCACCCATCTTCTACAGCCTCAGGTCGCAGCCACACAGAGCTGATCTGGAACTGAAATCAACAGCTGCGATTCCTCACCTGTCTCCCCACAGTTTCTTCATCATGTCTTCTACTTTCTTGGCACGCTCCGATGGATTCAACTGGGCATCACCCTTGGCAGCGAACTTTGCAACGTACATTTCGGCAAACTGTTTCAGAGTGAAAGCCCAGCCATGCAGCCCAGAACCAAAGCCGACGGTGCCAAGCACTGGGTCAATCTGAAAGGGGACGGGAGAGCTGGGTTAGAGAGGAACAGCCACAGCTCTTACAGCCACGGAGCGTCACAGCACTCAGCCTATTCACACCCAAACACAACTCTGTACGGCTCCACAAAGAAACGAGTTTGAAGATGGAGCTTCAGATCCTCAAGCAGCTCTGCGACAGCAGCCATCTCCAAGGTCCACAGACAGCCTGGCCTCCTTTGCTTTGTATCGCAGAACTAGATTGCTTTTTCATCATTTTGACCAGCTACGCACTCAGACAGCTCAGCAGCTGCTTAGATTTGCGCACAGGTAAGGTTCCTGTCCTTCACTCGGAGTATCAGCAACACAGGAAAACCCGCACCATGCAGGAGAGCGCTCAACAGGAACAGAGCACAAGCTTCTTCTCAGAACCAACAGCCCTGGCGCTACCCAGGAATCCAGCGAGGAGCAGTGCTCAGAGCGCAGGGACTGGCGAACACCTCCCGGCCTTCCGTTTCAGAAGACGGCTGGGGAAGGGATGCTGCGTAGGAGCCGAGGATCTCCCATCACCCAACAACACAGACGTGATGTGGGCAAGAAGGCACTCTACAAAACAAGGGCACCCTTGGTGGAGGCAGAGAGTACTTTCTTGTATTTATAGCCTTTATTTGCTCAAGGCTTGAGCTAACAGAAGACATCAGAGGCAAGCTAGTGAGAGCTGCGAACCCGTGCAAGCCCGGGTAGTACGGGTGTCTTCGTTGTTCTACTCTCACTTCTCCACTTCAGACAGGAAAGAGCCACAACCACTCCCTCTCAGCAAAGGGGATTATTTCAAACACAGCACTCGCAGCCTTCCACTTACCATGATGTTTCCCATGGGGCCACTTTCTCCTTCTCCATACGTGGAGATAATGACGTTCACGTTTTCCACGATGCGCTGGAAGGTCTGGTACAGCTCTTCTGGCTCCAGCTGCAGCTCCAGCAGCGCTCGGTCCATCTTGTTCATCATCAGAACAGGCTTGATCCTCTCGGCAATGGCCTGACGCAACACAGTCTCTGTCTGCACGCACACGCCTGCCAAACACAGGGGAATTCACTATCCTCGTCTTCAAACTGGCCCAACATACACTCCAGTTGCACATGGCTGCAGCAAACCTTACCAGAGACGCAGTCTACGACAACCAGGGCACCATCAGTGACACGCAGAGCAGCAGTGACCTCTGAAGAGAAGTCCACATGCCCAGGAGAGTCAATCAGGTTGATCAGGAAACCAGACCCGTCCTTGCTCTGCTTGATGAAGGCCAAATCATTTTCAGAAAGCTCATAAAATAGGGAAATAGCTCTGAAAAAAAGAAAAACTATTAAAATTATTATCTACATGCTACCCCTCCCCAATGCTTTGAAACAGCTTTTCATCCCACACAGACAGCTGTGCCTAGGCTCGAGGATTTCCTGAAGTGTATTCCTGGGAGGCCAGTGTGGGAGATGACAGGAGCGCGGGCTAAAATCTGCCCTTCCTACACTCTTCTGAAATTATAACCTCTTCTGATTCCATACCATTTAAAGTACCCAAAGAGGGTTTAATTTCTTTCAGTCAAGGATTTATGCTTTTCCTACTAGGCCCAACCTCCTTTTTGATCCCTTTTCATGCCCCCTGAGGTCCTCGAACTGCCCACAGCGACACAGCTGCCAGGTACGTCGCCAACGATGCTCCCAAGACAGTCCCCGCACCACAGCCACATGACTCCAGCCACATCCAACAGTCCCAGTGCTAAAACAGGAGGCTGAAGCTCCCACTGCACATCTATTTCCCAGCAGCCACCGAAGTAGTGCTCTATGATTCACCAGAAGCGATCAACACTTGCTCTTTCATTTAAGCAATCCTCACGAGCAAGAGATGAGCTTCTGAACTAGACTAGAGAAAGCCTGATGCAGTCTTCCTTCGTCTCCCAATCAAACCAGTGGAGGACTGGAAGCCCTCCCAAGCTCAGACCATACAGACAGCACTGAGGTGCCTGAAGGGAGGGAACTCACGTTGATTTGATGGTGATGCACCGCTCCTGCTCATCCTTCCTTGTGTCGGTGAAACGGGTCTCCCCCGCGCGGGCAGAGGCAATGATACCAGCTTTGCATACCAGAGAATCAGTCAAGGTTGATTTGCCGTGATCAACGTGGGCAATCACAGACATGTTTCTGATGTTGGCCTTTTTGTCCATGATGGCCCGTATCTGATCTACTGTGAAGTTCACCTTGAAGAATGAGAGAAGTGGAGGGAGAGAAAAACGCAGGGTGTGTAGAAACGGCTTCAGCAACTCGAGGAAGCCCAAGCCACACCACAAATACCTGCCATGGTCACACCGACACCCACTCTGCTTGCACAGCCTGTGTTACAAAACCACCCGCAGCAAGGGCACCGCAGACACCGGCCTTACAAGCAGCGGGGCCTGGGCCCGCAGCACAAACACCCAGCGCTCTCCCTCTCCAGCTCGGTGCCCTGCAAACTGCGGCAACGTCTCTTCGAAGCAAAACCCTCGCTCAAACCGACCGCTCGCTCGGTGGCTGCTCCGCGGCCGGCGGCGACAGCCCGGTGTGCCGGTGGGATTTCCC